TTTCTGCTTGTTATATGGAGTTTAGTAGAGTAAAAGCCTTTTCTTTTCCGTTGGTCGTGTAGACGCTGCAGCTTCGGAAGATCCGCTCTTCGTGGAAGTTGAAGCCGGCGTTTGGGAAAGCGAGCAAGGCAAGTCACATCATCTTTGAACATATTGATTCCCCGTTTGTAAAATTATGTTGATTTAAATTATTGCATTATCGCTTTATTTAAATTCCCGCGTTATCACTGTTTTATTTAGCCATACCTATTTACCTTTGTTATGACCTTATTATTGTTATTGTTATTATTTCTTTGTTCACCCTAGATTAAACAAAACCCCAACTAGTGGACACTCTACTCCTGGTACCACTAGTATGATTATAGGTAGATGCTTCGCTTTTAATTAGGTAACATTAGGCGGTTTTACAACTCTAGACTTTGGGAATTTTCATATCACCTGGACACTGTGGAATTGTTGGAGTATTGTGGAATTGGCTTCACACCTCCCCCTCTATTCAAAATCCCCAAAAATGGTTTTAGGCTGGGCTCGGGGTGCATGGTTTTGATAGTAGCACCTCGGCCATATAAGGACCGGTCTTCGGGCCTCTGTTGCAAAGCACTACCGTACTTCCACATGTCTAGTGGGTAAGGCTTAGTTTGTGGCTCAGTCTAGTTATAAACAAAAGTACACGGATGGAGGTGGATGAAGTCGGGGGTCGATGGACATTCTCCAGGGCAAATGAAGGCTACACGAGCTGCGGCCCGGTAGTCGAGATGTCATGGCACAGGGCCGGTGTCCTGCTGCTAGGGGCTCAGTCCTGCCTGCCTGTCCCGGGTGTTCCGGCCGTAGGTGGGGTTGGGTCGGTACTCTTGTCTATGGCTAGGATGGGTTGGAAACTATGTCACGTCTTCCGTCTGTATACCGTGGTGGTATGTGGCACGTGGTTACACGTGAGGAAGATGTGTCTTGTGGGTAAAGATGTACACCTCTGATCAGAGTATAATCTATTCGAATAGCCGCGCCCTCGGTTATGGGCAAGCCGAGCAATGTACCCAAGTTAGTGTTTTAATTCTTAAAACCTGCTTAACAACTAAAATGTGGAATGGTTGGCCTGGGTTGGCTTGGGACGAGCTGGGACCCAGGGTCGGGTTGCCAGTTCGGTCTGAATCATCGTAGGCCTTGGGTTAAGGCAGGTTCGTGTGGGTTCACGGCCTTGATAAATAATATTGTTTAGTTCTAGAATCGTGTTTACAAAATAGCCCTGAGCAACTAAATATCTTTAAATGCTGTTTTCTGCAACCCTAACCCTTTACAGTATAACTCCTTTGTACTCCCTTGCATTTATTCTGCACTTGTGGGTGTGTCTTGTTGAGTACGGTGGTTGTACTCAGTCTTGCTCAATTTTTCCCAAGCCCAGAAGAGGAGCCCCTTGAAGATGAAGGCTTCGGTGTCTAGCTCGTGCCTGCCGTCAAGCGCCTGTGGTCGTCGCCCTAGTCTTCCGCTGTTTCTCGTTTGTCTTTGTGTGTGCTGGGCCTTCGTTGCCCATGTAATAAATTAACTATTTACGCTTCCGCTTGTTAAACTCTGATTTGTATCAACTTTTGGTGTACCTTGCCTCCTGGGACAAGGATTAATGCACGCACGTAAGGAACGCCCGTTGGGTTATTTCCGGTCGTGACAGCTGGCTCGGAAGTCGGAGGCGCGCTTCGTCGGCGAGGGGGGTGTAGAACCAGTCGCTCTTCCAGTCATCCCACTTCTTGCGGAGGACGCAGGGAATGTAGCGGTTCAGCACCGGCCCCCGCGGCTGGAAGTAGCATCCACCAACCACCGACGGCGGCGACACCGGCTGTACGGTGAAGAACCACCGGAACAGCCGAAGGGATGGGCGCACCCCGATGAACATCTCGCACAGGTGCGCGAAGATGGCCAATGTCATTATCGCGTTGGGGGTGAGGTGCGCCATCTGGAGATCGTAAAACTCCAGAACATCCATGAAGAAAGAAGAAAATGGCGGAACCAGCCCTGCCATAGCAAAAGGGAGGAAGAAGACAGACCGCCCCGGGTAGCGTGGCGCTGGGCATCCCTCGCCCAGCGAGACTATCTCCCGGCCGGTGGCAGATTCCGGCATGAAGCGGCGCGGCAGCCCGGCCTGTCTCTCGCTCACGATGCGGGAAGGCGGCAGCACGCTACCGTCAAGCGGAGCGGAGCCCCGTGCCATGACGCCGGAAGAAGAGATGTTTGAGATCGAGCGCGTGTGGCGAAGGTAGGGCACAGGAAACAAGGAGTTAGAGCGCAAGCGGCGAAGACTAGGGGAATAATGGCGAGAGGAAGGAAGCAAATCTCTTCCTCGGCGACTTTATACCCTTGCCAACGCTATGCCCGGCTCCTCGTTTCTCGCGCCCACTATCTGCCCCCTCGTTTCTCGCGCCCACGCTTCCACTAATCCTATTCGCCCGTTTGCAGTGCATGAGGTGGATATGCGGCTGTGGCAGTCGAGATGGAACATCTCGTGCGCGCGTTAATTACGCTCGCCGACCGAAGCGCCATCATCATATCTCCAGGAAAAACGAACCGGCTCGTCCCGATTCGCGTGTTACTCGAGTAATGTGGCAGTCTTGAAGAGACCGCTCATTATTGACAGCCGAGTAACCATTGCCGATGTGCGTGATTTGCGACCGTTGGGTTTCTGCCCAACCGTGGAAACCGGTCCCACCTGTCACCAGGCCTTAGGAAGTGGCGTCACGCCCGACCGCTTCCCTCGAGGAGGGCGATCGCCCTCCTCGAGAGAAGCGGTCGGGCGTGACGCCACTTCCTAAGGCCTGGTGACAGGTGGGGACGGTCTAAAAATCGGGACAAGCCGGTTCGTTTTTCCTGGAGATATGGTAATGGCGCTTCGGTCGGCGAGCGTAATTAACGCGCGCACGAGATGTTCCATCTCGACTGCCACAGCCGCATATCCACCTCATGCACCGCAAACGGGCGAATGGGATTAGTGGAAGCGTGGGCGCGAGAAACGAGGGGGCAAGATAGTGGGCGCGAGAAACGAGGAGCCGGGCACAGCGTTGGCAAGGGTTACCTGGCGCGCCAGATGACGGAGAGTGGGGCTCCTCACCGGGAGACCGCGCAGGCCCCCCTTTGCCGGTTCGGTCGGGGGCCCTGGGTGAGGTTCTAAGCTCCTGGTCTGTGTGTGGAAGGTTCGCGAGAATGGAAAAAGCACAAGACACGGGCGATGTATACATGTTCGGGCCGCTGAGAAGCGTAATACCCTACTCCTGTGTTTTGGTGGATCTGTGTATGAAGAAGCTACAAAGTGCCAGCCAGCCCCTGATCGTTCTCTTCTTTTTCTTCCTAAAAATCCTCCCCCCCTTTTCTAAGTGGGCAAGGTCCTCCTTTTATACCTCAAGGGGATACCACATGCACCATCTCTCTCTTTTCTGTGGGGACTTATCCTCTCTTCCCTCCAACTTGACTTCTCTTCATTAATGGACGGAGATCTGTATGGTTGCCGTCCGAATGACCTTCTGATGGGACGGCCCATACCTACCTCCACTTCCACCGGAAGCAGGCGCGACGTGGGAACATGGCTGTCTGCTGACGACATGACCATTGTCAGACCGATCACAAATCGGTCATTCTTGTCCACCACGTGTCAGTTTAACAATCTGCATGTTCGCCCTTCTTCATACAATATCTTGCCTGTAATGGTTAGGATGAAGCCTGGCATATATCTGACCGGAACCAACGTGCCATCTCCAGGAGGTAACACGCCGGCTCCGGCTAGGGACGAGTGCTTGGAGGCTCTCGTCCTGACGGGATGGGGCGAGGCGTGCGTCAGACCGCATGTCGCCACCTAACCCACGATCTGACCGGTCTGTGACTGGTCACAGACCGGATAAACGAGTGCGCTGCACTGCGTTACATGCAGCGTGATGCGCTCGTCCAAACCGCAATAAATGTGGTTAGGTGAGCCCCGCTATGCTCACCTACCCCATATACGCGGCGCAAAACCCACAAGGGGTCGGGGCGCCTCGGCCCTCGGGGCCGAGACGGGAGCGGTCCGACCCCTCGGGGAGACAAAGAGAAGGGCGGTCGTATCACCCTCGGGCCCGACCCCCTCCGAGGGGGTTAGGCCACGTGGGTGATCGTGTCTGCCTCAAGTCTCTAAGTCATGATACTCCCGGTCCCATGTCACCGACAAAGCATTATTGTGAAAGCAAAACAAGAGCTCCTACATAAGTCCATAATTTATTTGTAAACATTTATATGTGATTAATAAAAATACAAGGTTTCCCTGTTTTTTAATTTTTATGTGTTCGTTATTTTGTTTTAAAAAACAACACTAGCTATGGTTACATGCTATATATATATATATATATCCTCTCTTTGAATGTTATATTGATGAAGTTGATTTGCTGGAAAATTTTCTTGTAACCACTCATAAAAAAGGTCAAAATATATGTTTTCTTTGTGAAACGGGTTTAGTACTTGTTTAAAGAGACATTAGCTGATTATCATAGGTTACCTTGAAAACTGAGCTTGATATCAAAAGTGAAACATCCACGGCGGATCTACAGTAAAAGGGTCAGTGCCAGTTTCGGCAAAACCTATAACGAAATTGTTTATCCATATGCTATAACACCATGATCTAAGCATAATTAGTATACTAGGACATCGATAGACACGTTCTGACACCACCGAATCGATTATCTGAATCCGCCACTGGAAACATCGTTTGTTCTTGTCCTTGTCTGGGGAGTTTTATAGCCGCAATAGATTCTGGTAGGATCTTCAGCCTCACAAATAGTTTAACTTAGCAACTAATATACAAAGAATTTGTTATAGAACTTAAAAAAATGTCAAATCTCACATATTCGCTAGTCATGTCATAGAATCTTGAGTTACGTTAAACAGGGCCTTTAACTTATGAGCAATAACCAAAACTTAAATTTTTACACTTAATTATGGAGTCCTTTTATTTTAGACTTTTTTAACATTATCTTTTAAAATACAAACAACTCAAAAATAAAAAATGTTTTGCACTTTTGCCCCTGTTCCATTCAAATTTTTTTTTCATTGCTTAGGAGCGGCAAAAGGTTCAAGAGAGCAAACGCCTAAACCCCGATGGCGCCGGCAAGTCCAGCAGTGATGGCATCCCGGCCGGACCCCGGCGAGCTCCAAGCCTTCCTCCGCGGCCTCCGCACCCACCACGCCGTCCTCTGCGCCCACGCCTTCCTCCTCCGCCGCGGCCTCCTCCTCGGCCACCGCACCACCGCCGGCATCCTCCTCTCCGCCGCCACCTCCACCGCCACCTCCGCCTCGCGACCTGCCCACGCCCACGCCCACGCCCACTCCCACCTCCTCCGCCTCCTCCTCCACCACCTCCCTCCACCCCTCCCGCTCTTCTCCCTCGACAACGCCCTCCGCGCCCTCGCCCCGCGCCTCCCCTTCTCCGCCCTTCTCTCCCTCTTCGCCGCCCTCCTCCGCTCCCACCACCCCGCCTTCCCTGCCCGCTTCTCCTTCCCCACGCTCCTCTCCAAAGCCTCCTCCTCCTCCTCCCCGCGTCTCCATCTTCCTTCCGCGCTCGCCCTCCACGCGCAGCTGCTCCGCCGCGGCCTCCTCTTCTCGCCCCCGCTCCACGCCGCCAACGCCCTCCTCCATTTCTACGCCGCCGCCACCCTCCTCCCCTGCGCCCGCAACCTGTTCGACGAAATGCCCTTCAGGGACGTCGCCTCCTACAACACCATGATGACTGCCTACGCTGGCGCCGTCGACGGCATTGACGCCGCACGACACCTGTTCGACGGAATGCTTCTGAGGAATGTGGTGTCATGGAACATCATGATCAACGGGTATGTGAAGGTGAAGCGCCCCGAGCAAGCTCTGGAGGTGGTGCGGTGGATGGCGGAGATTGGGGTCAGGGGCACAGCTGTCGCAATGGTTGGGGCAGCCACTGCGTGCGCAAGGCTGGGCAGGTTGGGGGCTGGGAAGGAGGTACATTGTGCTTTCCTGCGCCGTTTTGAGGAGCGTAACCTGCTGTTCTCGACTGCATTGGTCGATATGTATGGAAAGTGTCGGAATGCGGATGCTGCGAGGAAGGTGTTTGATCGGCTGAGCTTTAGGAATGTTGTTTGCTGGAACGCAATGATCATCGGCCATTGTGTGTATGGAGAACCTGGTGATGGGATTCGATTGTTTCATGACATGATTGGACAAGGTGGGTTCTGATTTCTGAGATTGGTCAAGATAGCAATATCCTGCTACTTATTTTGTTCCATGTTATTTCTAGTTCCTTATTGATCTTACACCTACCTTTTCAAGGAATGATCTAGACGATCAACATGGGCTGCTACCAGACGAAGTCACTTTCATTGGTGTCCTCTGCGCGTGTACCCGTCTAGCTCTCTTGGATGACGGGAAGGCATATTTTGAGCAGATGAGCACCATGTACAACATCAAGCCAACATTTGCACATTATTGGTGCATGGCCAATCTGTATGCAAGTGTTGGGCTTCTGGAAGAAGCTGAGGGTCTCTTAACGAGTATGCCAGAGGAGTTGAAGGCACATGCATTGGGTGGTTTGCTTGGGTTGTGCCGGTTCCGAGGGGAGTGGGAACTGGGGGAGCGGATAGTCCTGAGGTTGATTGAGTTGGAACCAAACAATAGTGTTCACTATGCCCTGCTGTGCAATGTGTATGCTTCTGCGGGGAGATGGGAAGATGTTCATAGGGTGAAGGCTATCATAAAGGAAAGAGACGAGAAGCTCAGTCCTGGACATCGCCTGGTGAACTTAAACGAGATTCTTCATCAATTTAGGGAGAGGCAACCTGAGAATCAAGAAATATATGGAATCTTGGATGGCTTGGTGTCAAGACTGAAGTTAACAAGCAGAGTAAATGGGCAAATTGAATCTGGAGTTAAATAGCTCAGTGTACACTCACAGATTGATTTGAAGCTGTACAGAATTTTTTGGGGGCAACTAGCCGATTTCAAGTGGCTTATGGTTTTGATTTTTTGAGGGGTGTTCAGGAGGCTATGTAGATAACCCACATGTCTGACAGGGTTTCAAGAAGTGGATACTCGAGTGTGCTCACTATCAGTCCAAAGCAACTGAAGAGTCGGTTGGATCAGAAATGTTTTCAGGCTTTGAGCTGATATGTGCACATCACATACATACATATGCACCAAACAGCAAGTCTCTGAATATACACTTGCTTAGTGCCAGTGGAAGACAATTATATGAATAGAGAGAATTCTCATTCACTTTATAAATGCTCTCGATAACTAGCGCCTGCGTTCATCTGGTTTGGGCTTTGTCTTTTGTGGCATAGAAGAAAGGGATATATGTTATATTAAGTTAAATGTGATATCAATATCTGATAAAGTAAATTATAAGTATTTGTAATTTGTAGAATGGATTTCTTGCGGATGACAAGACATAAAATTTCTGACATACTAGTAAAGTAAAGATACATGAATCATTTCTATTGAACAAATGGAATTGATTATAGTTTATAGAGATACTACTAGTAAATAAAACATGATTTTTTTTCTATTAGTATGCTGATGAACAAGTAGAAGAGACGTGAAATTATTGACTCATAGGTTGAGATGAGATTTCAATTTTTACTACTACTCCCTCCGTTTCACAATGTAAGTCATTCTAGTATTTCCCACATTCATATTGATGTTAATGTAGTAGTTAAGACTGAAGAGAGATGGCCCATACATATACTCCTACTTTTAAGTAGAACTAAAGAGAAAAAAAAAGGAAGGAAAAAAAAAAGAGAAGAAGCTCGTCGTCAATCGTCATCGCTGGTCACAAGTCCTCTCTTCCTTGTACTCTCAAGTCCTCTCTTCCTCCCCCGCCCTCCGATCCCCAAGTGCCCTTGTGCTACCCCGCGCCGCGCGCCGTCACAGTCGACGCTTCCGCCGCCGCCGCCGTCGTCGTCGGCGGTGAGTTCCTACCACTTCCCTCCCTCCTACCTCTCCCGCAGGCCAGTCAGTTGGATTTCCCCCCCCCCCCCTTTTTGGGTGCATAATTATATAATATAATAGTCAAGAATCAAGATGGAATCCGTAAGAACCCTAGTTTGTTTGCTTACACATTCCCAATCGGTTTCAGCTTAATCCAACCGAACTAGAGGTAGATTACGATGAACCTGAAATCAGAAAGACCACCGTTCTGTTCTGTCTATCTATCTCTACATTGGATTGGATGGAGCCCCTGCCTCTTCCTGCCAAATACTTGCTGGTTTTGGTTTCTTTTTCTCTGCACTGCATGCAAGTATAATCTCGTCTCGTTGATCTTCCCTTCATCCACGCAGGCAGGCAGCTCATGGAGGTTGCTACTCCCAATAATAACGCTGTAAGCCCTCCTTGATCCTCTGTTACTTAATTTATTCATCCTTGTACATAGTTTCTTTTTCTTAATAAACTAGCTAGGACCTGGTTAGGTATTGAGATAGCATTGGCTTCTCTTTTTGCCTGCCTGCAGCACCAGGTCATTGATGAACTAGTATCCAATGATGATGATGACGATAGGCTCAGCGCCCTCCCAAATGAAATTTCGATCTACATCCTCCAACGCCTGCCGCTGCGCACTTCAGCACAGACCACCATCCTCGCAAGGCGATGGACCCATCTTTTCCCATCCATGACACATCTCAAAATAGATATCAATGAATTTGTACCACGCATCCTCACTAGGCACAATGTGGCTCGAAGCATGGCCATGTCGTGGTACACCCAAGCACTAAGGACATTGCTAGCTCCTACAATTGACCCTGATCGGACCATAAGGACCATGCATCTACGCTTCTACCCCACAGACTCATACCTGCTCTCCATTGCCCGCATGGTCGACGATGCGGTTCAGAGTGCCAGTGCCAGCAAGATTGAGGTCCTTGACTTTGCCATTCTGAATGAGGTGTCCGAGGTGCACTGCACCGAGAAACAGATGTCACGATACGGGCGACGCTTCATGTCCTTCTTTCAGGCTTGCCCCAATGGATTCAGGTGCCTAACAAGCCTCTCTCTATGGGCCCTCAGGTTTCGGGATTCAGATATCCCAAGCCTACTAGGCTCCTGCCACCAGCTGCAGCACCTCCTTCTACGGGCTTTGCGATAGCGGTCGCAACTCTGTGCTCAAGATTGACGCATCACCATGCTCACAGCTCAGGACATTGAGGATGATCTTCTGCAGTTACATCAAGGTTGAACTCGTCCACGTTCCAAAGCTTGAATCAGTGGATTGTGATACATGGGTGGGTGTCAACCCTCCTGTTTATTTTGGTTGCGTCCCACTGCTTGACAAGATACGCTTCTCTTCCACCTGCCTTAAGATGCAGCAACCATTCGTTCTGAGCAGCTGGCTGTCCACTGTGCCAACTCTAACTAGTTTGCATCTGGACTAACAATATGAGATGGTAATGCACCTCCATCTGTTTTATTCCTGCATGCATATTCATGGCTTCCATGTATATGTTTTGATGTTGGTGATTTCTTGTTTATTTTGCTGCCTGCAGGTTTGGATCATGCCAGAAGAGCCGAAGAAACTATTCCCCATATTTCGCAATCTTAAGGATGTATATCTTTACAACATTAGTAATGACAGTGGCCTCGACTGGACACTGTTTGTCCTTGAAGGCGCACCCTCCCTCAAGAGTTTTCATGTTAAGGTAAACCATGCATGATAATATATATGCTCCTGCCCAACATACACTTATTATATGCATGTGCCTTCTGTACCTGTACGTGCAAAATAAATATGTGCAATAGTTTAACTTTGGCCAATACTAATTATGTATTCCTTGTAGATATCTCACCACATATGTGGGGGGGATGGTTTTGAGCACAATGCTGGCAGTAGTAATGTTGTGTGGGAAGCATCATCTGACATCATCAAGCATAAAAACTTGAGGTTGTTGGATATAATAGGCTTTGAGACAGAAGAGAATCTGATCAAGTACATAAGGCTCGCCATTCAGCGAGCTATCGCTTTACAGAGAATTCACTTGCATGAGAAGGAACCATGTGAAGACTGCGATGATATTTATCTCAATACGCCATCTCTGTCCAGAACTAGATTCCCTAACAATGAGCAAGAGAAGGATCTACTAAGAGAGCAACTCCTGCAGGGATTCTCATCGTCTATAGAAATAATAATAGGTTGTTACTAGTAATTGTTAGATTTTCTTTTCATGCCAGTAATTGTTCTAAACATGAAAATTTTGAATTTTGATATTCTTATATCATGGGGTTCAGAATGCAAAGTTTCCTGTAATTTCAAAATTCTTTACATTATTGATTCTAAAATCCCAAAATTTGAAATGCCAAGCAGGGGAAGACTGATTTTTTTCGGGCACTCAGTGCCACACAGGAGTCATCTGAAGGTGATGGCGTAGAAGATTTGAAGTTAGCTTGGTGGTGACATGGAAGGTTTCTCTTTACGTAGAATTGACTACTACCTTTACCAACGGTATATAAGAATTTCTCTCTTAACTTACAGCGCACAAGAACTTTATTTGGGTCATATGGTACATTTCTTTGTTAAATCCGGACATGTACTATGGCGTTGTTCTGATATTATGAGGTGATTGTCTTGTATTTCCCCCTTATTTTGTGTATCGCTGTAACCAATTGTCCATGTTGCCGTATCATTTGCAAGCAGTGTCCTGAAATGTTTGCTCCTGGCTGATCTCATCTCAAATTCTCACTTGTATCCTGACCAGCATTCCAAATAAATCAAGGAATAATCTTGAGAAGAAAAATGGCATGGAGAAAAAAGTATTCTCTAGAGTAGAGAGATTATAGCTAACAACTGGAGTGAGAGAGCTTTGGCGTTGTTGGTGTAGGCTTGCAGCTTCAGACCTCCTGTCCTCCCGGGGCAGAGAAAAGAGTGGAAACATTTGTATATGGAAAGTACTATATAATTTGGCATTTAGAATGATCATGGGGGCTTAACTGTTTTGAAGAAAGACTACCCATACATCATGGTAAATACGTGTGTATAGTTATGGCACATATGCTATACGTTGGCAATGTCATGTGGTACTATGAAGAAATGAGGAGCATCAGAGCTCCTTTAAATAAAATCCGGAACACTTCTAGGAAAATGCCATCACCAATTTTATCATTTAATAGAAAACTCAACTATAATTGTTCATAAATAAAGAAACCATGAATAGAGTGGAAAAAAAAGGAGAGAGTTTAAGAATTTTCATAATAATGTGGTTTGATATGTTAAATTAGTACTTAAAAATTCATTGCAAATTTTATTTGAATGTACTGTATTTTTCTAAGTTGAATAAAACTGAACTAATTCTTATAAAACTTTGCAAAATTTATACTGCCCCTGTACTTAAAATAATGTCATTTTGAAAATCAACACAAACTCCTTTACACATATTTTATCATTGTTTTTCCAAACTATATATCTATAAAAATGAAAATACAATTATACAGATAAACAATCATTTTTCAACAAAGATAATGCTTTTTAATAGCATGAAATCAAATATACGGGCTATAAAATCGACACACCTGTCGGGATTGCTAGTTGGCGCGCCGGCGCGCATTTTTGTTGGGATAATGTGGTTATACTAGTATTAGTCTTAGATAACGATAATTTGAGATAATGACAGCAGTAGATAAGATTTTCTTTTTTCAGCGAGATTTTTTTTAACTAACAAATTAAAAAGAAAATCTATATCTGAAGTCAATTTTGAAAATTTTAAACCCAAATTTAAAAACTTTCAACTTGAAATTTAAATTTTTTAAGTCAAATTTTGAAAATGTTCAACTTTTCATCTCAAATTTGAAAACTTTCAACTCAGTTTGAAAACTTTCAACTCGGATTTGAAAAGTTTCAATTCAAGATTTGAAAACTTTAAACGCAGATTTGAAATTTTCAACTCGAGATTTTAAAACTTTCAACTCAGACGAAAACTGTCAACTCGAGATTTGAAAAGTTTCAAGTCCAGATTTGAAAAACTTTTAAGTTAAGATTTGAAAATTTTCAAGTTTAGATTTAAAAACTTTCAACTCAAAACATTTGAAAAACATGTGTGCTAAAGATTAAAAAATAATCAGAAAAAAGTGAAAAAATCGTAGAAAAAACGAAAAATAAGGGCGTGGGGGAGGAGGCACAGCTCGCACGCGAATTAGCAATCCTGATTGTGTCATCTCCTACAGTTTCGCGTTGCTCCTCCTCCTAAACAAATTAGTAAACAATTTATACTTATATTTATACATGGATATGGATTTCCAATCAAATAAGGAGTCCGCTTCGGTCTCCGAATTCCTTCGCGTCGATCCTGAAGCTGACAGATACTTATAAACAAGAGCATCGTCCTGCGCTGCCCAAATTGACACTCCGGCCTCCATTAGAGTGGAGTAGTTTTTGTCCCCCCTGCAAATCTCGTCGATCCCTTCCCTCATTCACCCAGGCAGGAAGCTCATGGAGTCGGCAATGCCCAATAACGCTGTAAGCCCCCCCCCCCCCCCCCCCCTCTTATATTGAGATTTTCTATGGATGGTCCTTGGCTAGTACTAGCTGTACTTATATTGAGAGGCAAAGTTACATTTAGGCCTTGTTTAGTTCGCGAAAAGAAAAATTTTTGGGTGTCACATCAAACGTTTGACCGGATGTCGGAAGAAATTTTTGGACACGAATGAAAAAACTAATTTCATTACTCACCTGGAAACCAGGAGACAAATTTATTAAGTCTAATTAATCCGTCATTAGCAAATATTTATTGTAGCATCACCTTGTTAAATCATAGCGTAATTATGCTCAAAAGATTCGTCTCGTGATTTACATGTAAACTATGCAATTGATTTTTTTTCGTCCACATTTAATGCATGTGGCCAAACATTTGATGTGACAGAAAAGTTGGAAGTTTGAAGAAAAAAGTTTGAATCTAAACACGGTCTTTGCAATTAGTTTTTCATTTTATCTAATTTATTGCTCTATACATGTGTCCAAAGATTCGGTGAGATGTTTTTGGGAAAAAAAATTTGGAACTAAACAAGGCCTTATACCTCCTGATTATGCCATACACTATGAAATGAAATACCCTGATATATATGCCTCTCAAATACCTGGAAACATTTCTGCTTTCATTCATTCATCTTTGTTTTTCTTAAGGCCAATCCATCGGTATTGACAAATAATGTATCTTTCTCCATTACCAGCAGTGCCAAGTCGTCGATGACAGGCTCAGCGCGCTCCCGGATGAAATTTTGATTGACATCCTCCAACGGCTGCAACTGCCGACTGCAGCCCGGACCACCACTCTTGCAAGAAGATGGACCCATCTTCTCCAATCCATGAACCATCTTGAAATCGATGTTGCCGATTTCATACCACGCCGGTCTGCTCCTTCACTCAAAAGGAACACCATGACTCGAGTCAAGGTGGCCATGTCAAGGTACACCCAAGCAATGAGGACATTGTTGGCTCCAAGAGCTGAAAGCCTCAACTCATCATCATCAGGACACTGCACCTGTGCTTCTACCTCACTGACCCTTACCTGCACTCCGTTGGGCGCATGCTTGAGGATGCAGTTCAGAGTGCCGGTGGCAGAGCAAGCAAGATTGAGGTCCTTTCCTTTTCCATCCTGACCGAGGTGCCTGAGCTGCTTTGTACCGAGAAACACCTGGCACGATATGGGAGACGCTTCATGTCCTTCTTTCAAGCTTACCCCAATGCATTCAGGCGACTGACAAGCCTCTCTCTGTGGGCTCTCAGGTTTGGGGATTCAGACATCCCCAACCTCCTAGCCTCCTGCCTCCAGCTGCAGCACCTCACCCTGCAGGATTGCGATAATGGCAAGAGGTATGTGCTCAGAATCGATGCACCAAACTCGCAGCTCAGCACGCTGACGATGGCCTTCTGCAGTTACATCAAGGTTGAGCTCATCAACGCTCCCAAGCTGAAATGCGTGGACTGTGATACATGGGTGGGTGCCAATCCTCCTGTTTGTTTCGGCTGCGTCCCAATGCTTGACCGGATACGTTTCTCTTCCACCTGCCACAAGATGCAGCTGCCATTCAAGCTCAGCGACTGGCTGTCGACCGTGCCAACTCTAACTAGTTTGCATCTGGACTTCCAGGATGAGATGGTAATGTACTGCCACAGTAACTGTTTGATTTCCTGCATTCATTCATTTGATTGGTCCTCTGATGCTATGAGGATTAACTGTTTCTAATGGATCCATTCCACCTGGCTTACATACGATGTGATGTTGGTGCTAATTTCTTGTTTATTTGCTGACTGCAGGTTTGGATCCTGCCAGAAGAGCCCAAGAAACTCTTCCCCATATTCCGCAATCTTAGGAATGTATATCTTTGCAGCATTAGTCTTGATTGTGGCCTCGACTGGACTCTCTTTGTCCTTGAAGGCGCACCCTTCCTCGAGCGATTTCATGTTAAGGTAAACCACACATGATAAATATGTTTCCTGCTCAACATACATATATATTGCCTGTTCCTGTAACTTGCTAAATCTGTGAGTGACAATGCAATAATCCTGGCTACTACGTATTAACTCCTTGTAGATATCTCTCCACATATGTGACGAGAATGGCTTTAAGGACAGGGCTGACAGAAGCAATGTTGTGTGGGAAGCATCATCTGAAAGCATCAAGCATAAGACCTTGAGGTTGCTGGATATAAACGGCTTTGAGACCACTGAGAATCTGATCAAGTACATAAGGCTTGTCATTCAGAGAGCTGTGGGGCTACAGCGAATTCACTTGCATGATAAGGAACCGTGCGAAGATTGCGATGGTATTTATCTCAATACGCCATCTCTGTCCAGAACTATATTCCCCAACAATGAGGCAGAGAAGGATCTGTTAAGACAGCAACTCCTGCAGGGATTCTCCTCATCTATAGAGATAACAATAGGTTAGTACTAGTAATTGTTCGAAACATGCGAGTTTTGAATTTTGAATTCTGATATTGTTATATCATGGGGTTTAGAATGCAAAGTTCCCTGTAATTTGAAGTTCTTTACATATTGATTCTAAAATCCCAAAATTTGAAATGCCAAGCAGGGGAAGATTGATTTTTTTTGGGCACCCAGTGTGCCACAGGATGGCGTAGAATTGGTGGTGACATGGAAGGTTTCTTACGTAGAATTGACTACAGTCCTTTACCAACGGTATATAAGAAATTCTCTCCTAACTTACAGCTGACAAGAACTTTAGTTGGGTCATATGGAGTACATGTGAAGAGAAAATGTTAGCTAATACATTTCTTTGTTAAATCTGTACATTAGCTATGGCGGCATTCTGATACCATGAGGTGATTGTCTTGTTTTTCACCCCTTAATTTGTGTATCGCTGTAACCAATTGCGGCATATGCTGTATATGTTGCCGTATGTATCGTTTGCAAGAAGTGTCCTGAAATGTTTTGCTCCCGGTTGATCTCATCTCAGACTCACTCGAATTTTTTTTATTTATAATTTTTTTTATTAAAAGTTTTACAAAAATAATTTTCCATTTTGAAAATTGACGGAAATAGTCGCCTACCGCCCTCTGGGAGGGCGATTTTTAAAAATCGCCCTCCCAGAGGGCGGCGAAAATGACGTGGCAGACGGCCGTTCGCTCTCGGGCGACGGCCGTCAACGAAATTTGCAGGCGGCCCCCTTGCCGCCCTCCGCGAGGGCGATTTTGTACTGTGCGGGGGCCGCCTGCAAATGGGCGGCGAGGGGGGGCATGGAAATTTGCAGGCGGCCCCCTTGCCGCCCTCCGCGAGGGCGATTTTGCACTGTGCGGGGGCCCGCCTGCAAATGGGCGGCGAGGGGGCATGGAATTTTGCAGGCGGCCCCCTTGCCGCCCTGGGGGAGGGCGATTTTGTACTGTGCTCTATATTTTTTTTATATAAATATCAATAGTTATCAAATCTTTTTATATTGAAAACTATACAAGATTAAAATCTCCAAGATTGGTAAAATACAATTTTATTATTTTTTAGGGCATATTTGGAATGTTACCGTACAAATATTTTGTTAATGCCAAAATATAAGCAAGTTTTGGCACTACCAAATATTTGGTAAGGTAAAATTGCATTTGATCATATTTGGTTTGCTGCCAAAATGTAAAATTGTAGTGAAGAATGTTGTACATAATCTCAATTCTAGATTACGTATTACCAATTAATAGGCTTCCATTTTCGTGTGTGGTGTGGTAGTGGGAAAGAAGATCAAACTAAACTACATCTTACAATTAACACTACTGTCTATGTCTCAATTCATACTATTATATTCTATGCTCTGGATCTACACATATGTGCTGTGTGCTACAGATCTGCTAAAATATATGGAACTAAAACTAAAACGCAACATATGTACTCAAACGTAATATATTAGTACAAATGCAAAAGATGTATGGGAGCATACCTGTGATGAAGTGAGCGAACCAGCAGGGCTTCGCCGCTCCCCTTCTGCTGCCCTCCCCTCTCTCTCTCTTTCGTTTTTTTTGGATTTTTAGTGAATATAATGAAATTTCATAGGGGAGGGGCTGGGCTTTATAGGGGGGAGGCAAAAATCGCCCTCCCCCAGGGCGGCAAGGGGGCCGCCTGCAAAATTCCATGCCCCCTCGCCGCCCATTTGCAGGCGGCCCCCCGCACAGTGCAAAATCGCCCTCGCGGAGGGCGGCAAGGGGGCCGCCTGCAAATTTCCATGCCCCCCTCGCCGCCCATTTGCAGGCGGCCCCCCGCACAGTACAAAATCACCCTCGCGGAGGGCGGCAAGGGGGCCGCCTGCAAATTTCGTTGACGGCCGTCGCCCGAGAGCGAACGGCCGTCTGCCACGTCATTTTCGCCGCCCTCTGGGAGGGCGATTTTTAAAAATCGCCCTCCCAGAGGGCGGTAGGCGACTATTTCCGTCAATTTTCAAAATGGAAAATTATTTTTGTAAAACTTTTAATAAGAAAAATTATAAAATTCGACTCACTCTCACTTGTATGATCCTGACCTGTCCAGTTTCTTGGAATTGCCAGCCCAGCCCAGCCAAGCCGAAGCCCACATCCCAGCCCAACCTACTAGGAAACCAAACCAAAGCCCAGCCTACTGGGAGTTGGTAGTGTATGGTTGGGCTTTTTTTTTCTTTCGGCCCAAAATTTCTCATGTTTTTGGCAGAGTATGGAAGAGAAAAGAACATGATTTTGGCACACAACAAAATTTGGCTATTGATATGGAGTATCATAATAATATTATGGTACAGTAAAGATCGAAAGGCTTTCTCCCAGTATATATATATATATATATATGATGACGATGATGATCCTAGCTACTAGATGATTAGTGCCTCATCAGTTGATCATAACATTTTGCAGTCATTGAGTAGCCTTGCAAATCAATCTTGCAGTTTTTTTTTCTTTTCTATGCAAAAACAGCTTGTCCCAGATCCAGCAGCTTGTGGATCAATAGGCTGAGCGGGTGGAGGCTGCTGAAGAAGAAGACACTCTTTCAGAGCTCCTCACGTTGTATCTCTCGTACACCTTCTCACGGTTCTCGTTCCACCACTTCTCAGCCTGATGCTCCCCAAAACGTCTCCGGCTGCAAACAATTTTCAACACCCTAAACTTAGTATTATCATTAGATAATAGTCTTTCTTTTCACAATCAATTACTCCATCCGTTTCAAGTTATAAGATGTTTTGACTTTGATCAAAGTCAAACTGTTTTAAATTTAACTAAGTTTATATACAAATATAGTAATATTTACATTACCAAATTAGTTTTATTAAATTAATAATTAAATATATTTTTATAATAAATTTATCTTGGGTTAAAAATATTACTATTTTTTCTATAAATTTGGTCAAACTTGAAACAGTTTTACTTTGACTAAAGTCAAAACATCTTATAACTTGAAACGGGGGTAGTAATTCAGTACTATCATCACTGCCAAACACAAAGCAAAATGACTTGTAGTTTAAAATTTATTCACCTGAAACGAACCCTCTTCAGATCCCGAGTCCCATCCAAGAGTGTTGTGAGTGTTATGTATACACCTGGTTCATACTGCTCGATCCATTCGGCCTGAACTTGGCTGCTGGATATTGATGATACTGTGCCTCGAGGCTTGTATCCATCCTCACCATTCTGAAGGGACATTGCATCTATGCTCACATTATCATCCCCTCTATGACTCGCAGTCAGCATATCGTCGCTGTTGCTGTGCGCTCTTCGATGAGGAACATCCAACTTGCAGGGACTAGTAATTCGATGGCTTTGAGCGCTGCCTTCACTAGCTTCGGTAGCATTACCTAGTAACCTGTGTTGGCTTGAGATTCCATTTGGATGCAATGATCGTCCAGAGTTCAGGCTTTGCGCATTTGAAGCATTGAGGAGCTCATTCTGTGGCTGGTGAGCTACGTTTATGCTAGAGTAGATTGCAATATGTGAATCAATGCCATTCGGAACGTGCACTGGCTTTGCCTCACTGACATCGTAAGTGCCCTGTTCTGGTGGTATCCGCTCAGCCATATCCTTCAGCTACATAATTTAGAGAAAGAGAGACACAATTATTACTGTATGATTTAACAACTCTTTATGATGAAACAGAGATATCCTACTCTTATTACTTTAGCCAACATATAGAAAGGAAAGATGCCAAGATGGCCATGACATGGTTTTAGAATTGTAGTAATCGAAGTGAACACAGGTGAGTTTGTTAATACCTGCGCTGTTAGAGATTTGATAACCTCTTTTGCAGCTTTAGATTTTGCAGATTCCTCTGCAACTAGTGTCATGGCCTCCTGAACTTTCTTGGCTGATTTATGCAGCTCAACTTCTTGATGCTCACAACGATGTCTGAGGTTATCAACCTGCACCAATAAAGGTATTAGCTACTAAGTTTCTTGCAATATTTACTCCACCAAAAACTAAGCTTATTGGCTTATTGCAACATAATAAAGCATCCAAGTTAATCTCTGCTGAATAAAGAGAAGTACATACTTGCGCATGCAGCCTATCGATTTCCTGGTTTAAGAGCTCATTTGTTTTTGCCAGATTATCGGTAGCACTTTTTGAGAAAGAAAGGCCATGAGTTGTTGGAACTGGTGTGGTTGAACGTGGTGGACTAGACTTTCGAGAGAAAGGGGAAACAGCTCTTGAAGTGGTTACTGACCGAACTGCTGATGTACGCACTGCTCTTGGAACTGATCTGTTCATATCTGCGCTACCAGACAAAGCAATATCTCTCAGCTGCAGTAGTGAACTAACTTGAGGAGTCCGGAGAAATGACAATGCATCAGTTTTCTTCCCCTGTCTTGCTGCCTTGCTATCCAAACTCCTAATTATATCCATATTGCTAGACAAGATGGTTTTCGATGCTTTGGTATCACCATTGCTTTCACCTGCAAGGTGGGAAACAATGTCCTTCCTCTTATTAAACGAATCAGAATCCAAGGCGTTCTTCAATTTCAAGAAACAAGAATCACAAACACGGTAAGGTTTCCCTGGATTAGGAGCCAATGCTGCTCTCAAAGCCTTTCTTGAGGTGCATGCATTACAATGGACAAGTCCACAATTATAGCAATTATGCCTCTTTCGAGTAAATCCAAATGGCTGTTGACATGATGAGCACTGTGATTGGTCAGCTCCAGAAACCCATTTGTGAAGACATATAGCAGCAGTGAAGTTTGCACCACATGCTATGTGCCGAACCGCTCTATCTTTCAGTGCCTCAACCTGTGTAGGTACCTTCCGATCCTCTATATCTCCATGGCCTAATCTTCCATTAGCTCCCTTTCCCCATGTAAAAACTTCACTCCTACCTGTCAATACTGCAACATGGTAGGATCCACAAGCAACTTGGAGAACATGTTCACCTGCAATCCTATCTTCGACCAAACATGGAAGCCTTCCATCTGAATTAGGATTTCCGAGCTGACCATAAACAGAATTACCCATGCTCAACACTTTTCCAGAAGTTGTCAAGCATACAGTAAGACTGTGACCACATGCTACCCTGTAAAAATCATAATCAATAAGCGAAGCTACACAGGTGGGCTTGAGTCGTGATTCCTTGTCACCATGGCCAAGTCGATGCTTGTCGCCATCTCCCCAGGTGAATAGCTTTCCAGCAGACACACTTGAACTAGAGTGAGTGACAATGACCTCCACAATAGCTGCAGTGTGCCATACACCACATGCAACTGCTATTGTTTTCAACCCTGAGAGTGACTCTACCTCCTTTGGACATGAAATGCTTGTTAGATTCCCATGGCCTAATACCCCGAAAGAACCATCTCCAAAAGTAAACAATTGGCCCATCGATGTAATCAAGGCTGTATGCCAGGTTCCACAAGAAACATAAGCAACTGGAAGACCATCCAGTGCTCCAGAAATTCTCTTGGGTATCCAATGTCCTGCATCAGTACCATGTCCTAGAAGTCCAACATTGTGAGTTCCATCTCCCCAGGTATATAGTTCGCCTGTTGTTGTCACAGCGCAAGTATGAAACTCCCCACAAGCAACAAAATCTACATTGCAAGCCGCTAAAGACTCAACAAGACGAGGATGGACAGAATCTTCTCGTGTTCCATGTCCGAGGCGACCTCCAGAATCTTCACCCCATGTGAAAACGTCTCCATTTCTTGTGACCAGTGCAGCATGCCTGACCCCACAATCTACATGATAAACATCAAGAACTAATCTGGATTCCAACGGCTTTGGGAGTAGGAAATCAGTCTTCTCCGTTGATCTAATTATAGTATCAGAACCAACTCGTACAGAGTTTTCGCAAAAAACTTCACCCCACACGTAGACATCACCTAAAGAATCACAGTCATCTTGTGCAGAACCATGGCTAGATGTACTAGGTGCACTAGAAATGCTTGCTCTAAGAACATCTGAAGATGCTCCCCTTGTGTGCATATTTGTCACATTTGATCTCCAGGTAACTAGAAATTGAAGATAATACTGTCCATATATTACTCGGTACTGTCAGGAGTGCTTGCAAACAAAATGCTGATCAAACTATACGCTAAAATGAGTTGGATATCATCAATTGCCTGCACATAGTTAAGAGTTAAGTGAAAAAAATGCATGTAAACACAACTGAAATTTTTATGAAAGAAAGAAATGCATAAAGTTATGTGCGTATTGTAGCTTTTTGGATACCACATACTACTGTGCCTGTCATTTGAAGAAATGGATGAATAAATTCAAGACTGTTTTTCCATACAAGCACTAAAAATCCACAGCATATTCCATAGGCCATGCCACATCAAGACAGGGATTACTTGAAAAAAATAGGACCATGTTCCCAGTTCATAGGGAGAAGAAAATACCTTGTCAGGTGGTTAATGAAATGTGGAAATAAAACAACTGTATATAGTGTTGCTGTGATCCTCCAGAACAAGAAGAATGATTGGCTTCAGGCAATTATGTTCCTTGACATCTGAAATCAGGAAAAAAAACAACACCTCAATAACAACAAGGAAATATTCTGCGTGCAACTTGTAATGCACAAGCACATCAATTCTTTGGGGGAAATTAGATCACAACTTACAATGTGTGAAAATTAACATGACAAACATTTGCTTCAAGAAAAGCAAAATGGCTCTGTACCACTAAGATACAAATGATCTTACAACTAAACCGCGATAACACAATAACACTAGGATCTCTTTAATTCCCCATACATATGTAGCAAGCAGTGCAAAACACAAACGAGTGGTGTCCACAGTTGGAGCAAATATGCTCCTCTACAATTGGAGCATCTGGACCTAATGCCAGTAATCAGCAAATTTTAGCCCCCATTCTTGCATCAGAGAGCTACTAGAAACAACCGCCCAGTTAACCACAGAACACTAAACTTCACACAGAATGCAGAAAGGAGCTTCCTTTCCTGCTGTCCCAGCATCACCAGTCGCCCACGACGAACCCCAAACCGCAGAAAGAAGCAAATTTTGCGCAGGGAAGGCGTACCAGAGATGCAGCACGGGGCGGAGAAAGCATCAAAAGACAGCATCCATGGACTGAAGAAACCGCTCCGCTTCTATCTCCAAGATCCACATCCACCCCGTCGGAAGGGGACAGGTTGGGCGGCGGCTGTTGATCCACCTCGCTCTCTCTTTCCTTTTTCTGCTCAGTTTCTTGGCTGTTGATCACGAGGGATGGGGCTCCTCCCCTGCTTGTTCCTTGCTCCCATGAGCTCTCTCTCTCTCTCTCCTCCTTCTCTGTCACTACTCACTACTACTCTATAGTGCTTTTCTTCTCTTCTCTACCGGGCGGTGTTGCTGCAACTGCGGTGGTGTGTGCTCATCATCATCTCTCCCCACATGCTCTTCTTGTGTTGTTGCTTTGGACTCTTCACTCACTCACTCACTCTCTTTGCTGCTACTCCCTTTTCTGTTCTGATCTGTGCTGTTGTGCTGTTGAATATGGTATCACAAAGGTGGTACAGCTGGTCTTGGCCTGTTCCCTGTAATTTTTATCCTAATGACACTAGTATGTGTTTAATTACTATTGAGATCTGGTTGCCCCCTTGTTATTATCAATCTTCATCTGATTCATCCACATGCCTCTTTAGTTTCTGATTTCATCAGTGCTTTTATGAATGTATCATCTTGCTATATTTAGTTGCTGAGTTTTAATAAAGCTTTCATTATAAAAAAAATCGATATTTTGATGAACTTAATTTCAAGTCCTAGAAAATGATGTGTGTTTTGGCAGGTACTCTTGTAACATGAATGATGGTAGGGTGATTGGGTCATCTTGGTTGAATTGAAATGGATTAGTGAATGGATGGCGTTGCTTACAAGAAGATCAAGTTGGGGAACAGGTTTTATATTAGAGAATCAGACTCTTGATTACAAAATGCACATCAAAATCAGTGGAGTACAAATCTCCAGTAACTTGCTGATGCTAATTAATACTCCTATAAGTTTAGTTTACTAACTATCTGTCTGAGCAGGCAATGTGGTTGCTTCTGACGAACTCCATCCTGTTCTTGGAGTCAGTAGTGTGTTGTCTCCCCTATAGAAACAATAGAATGTTTGCAAAGATACTCACTCCTAGCTAAGCTAAAGTCACATTGGTTCTTTTTAAAGCGGATTAGCAGTGGAGAAGAAGGCACATTATGTCAATAGGATATAAATACAATTACAGAGCTTAATTGTCCTAAGCTTTTCAGTCAGTAGTAAAGCAGTTTGTAAAGCATGCAAATGTTTTTTACCCACCATATGTACAGTACCTTCCTACCTGCAGCAGGTTCATAAAGGCTCAAGTACAGTACTCCTGTGTAAATTAAAGCAAATTAATTAAGATATGACACTTTTAGTACAATTGTTAGTGCCATGGCGACTGTCAGTCGTACTGTATGCAGTATGTCCTTGACGCATTTAAGGTGATCCAACACAAGTTTCATATGAAACCCATCTTCTCATTGATCATTCAATAATGTTGGTTGGAGTTCACATGACACTTGAGGATGAATAATCCACCTTCCTTTGTTTTTTTTCCTTTTCTTTTGATCCCATTTTTATTTTGATGGTATATATAGGAAATTAAGTTCGATAGATATTGGGATAGAAAGATGTCCTTTATATCTGGTTTTTTTATAAAAGGAAATAATTGTAGTAATAGCAATAGTAGTTAGTCCAGACATGAATATTGAATAGTAGCAAATTAATTCCATGCACTGCCCATTTGCTAATTAATTACTCTAACAATCTGTTTGGTTTGGTGGACAAGTGGATCATTCAGACAACATAAGCACTCTAGGAACTGGCAGTTTCTCGGTCGCATCGATGGATCAAATGTGATTGGAATTTGACAGGACATTAGCTGCCATTTGGTTAATTATCAATTCACTTTTGTGTAGCTAATGAAGGGAGCAACAAGTACTTAGTGTGATTCCATTACCAATTACTCCACGCCAAGAGGCAAGAGAAGATCTGGTACTATATATACGTGTCAAGCATGGTCCAAGAAGAGCCATCCCAATATATATAATCCCATTTGCTCATACATACATACATACATACATACATACATACATACATACATACATACATACATACATACATATATATATATATATACATATATATATATATATATATATATATATATATATATATATATATATATATATATATATATATATATATATATATCTTATTATCTAAAAAGTAATCCCATTTGCTACTATGCAAGATGCACGCGTGCATGTATATATTCTCGTAGTACCAATACATGATCTATCTTATCTATCAGAACAGAAGATCGAGTTGGCAACTCATATCATTGCTAGCCTTCAAACCATTGCCTCCAATCAACAAAAGTACAAATCGCTGGTCGCTAGCTAGCTCGACCAGCAATTCAATAAACAGATGCTAGCTGCGATGCTACGATGGCGATGCCAATATTGTCCGTAATGCATGGATTTTCCATGTCCTTTTTTTTCTGCAAGGAAAGAAGAGGAAAAGAATCATATTTGATCCTTCCGATCTACTCTCTCTGTCCAAAAGAAGAGAGAGAAAACCACGTCTTGACCCAGCCTATTCAACTATTTGCTCACCCTTAAGTCTTAACACATGCCTTTTTTTTATCACCAGAATCATGTGAAACACCTACTTTGCCCCTTCCCTTTATCATGTGAAACTGAGTGGCGGCGTAGCGGTGGAGTTTGGGCTTGACGAGACGGCAAATGTGATGGCTTGGGCCGCTGCATTCCATCTTGTGCTGGACACATGCATCACCATCAAGTAGAAAAAGACGTCATGTTGCTTAGTGAAATCATTCAGCATGACGAGTACATGATCGAGATGTGTTGTGGAGATGGCACCACCGTATCATCTTAGGCGATAATGTCAAGATGGCTAAACTCCTACTTGAGCATGGTGCTAACGCGGAGGACATCAATGGCCTAATCTTGAGGACCATCGCTGAGAAGAGTGACCACACATATGTGTAGCTTGTTTCCGTGTCGCACCAAGAAACAAGAAGACAAGCCCCCTCCCCCCAGCTATCTTCGTCGTAGCAATCATAGATAGACTGCAGGGGCGTGGCAGCAATCGTCCCAAGAGCATGGAATCATCGCCATTGTTTGTCGCGGTGAGGATGCACGTCCTCCTTATCCTTCGGCAGGAGCCACAATGACCCTGGGGATTCGGAAGTGAAGGCTGCCTCATCATCTATGGAGTCATAAACATGAACTTGGAGGAGAGCAGGTTGAGGTCTCGAGGATAGACTTAGAGGACAAAACGGTCATTTTACATGGCTCCATTGACAAAACCAAAATTAGGAACAATAATAAGTGATAAATAGTTAAAAATGGTTGTGGTGACTGCTTGCTACTACTGGGTTGCCTCAGCCAGCAAGGCAGGGTGCAATTATTATAGCACCTAGCAGCAACAACAACGGCCACTTCACTCTTTTTACTTACTTGGTTCGAGATTGAGATTGGAGAAGAAGGAGACCCGACTCGGATCTCATCGCCGCCACCACCGAAGCTCTTCGGCGTTGAGTTCCCCTACCTACTGCTGCGCCAATCTCCACTCCACCAGCACAACACCGCCACATCCTCGCCGGTGAGCATCCATCCGATCCGTTAATCCTCTTTCTCATCTCTCTTCTCTAGATCTACCCTCGCAATTTTCTTTCTCGGATTTGCTTGCATTAAGCTTAATAGCTAGCTATCTTCTAGATTTGGATTTGGAGACTACTTTTCTCTTAGAGAAATTTAACAAAAGCTAACTTTATAATTTTGTTTCAACTTGGATCACCCCATTCTATCCATCTCTAAGTTCACTGGCTCTACTTCCGCTTCACCTCCAAGTCCAGGACTCTCTGTCACCGCTTCGCACACTCTCTCTCTCTCTCTCTCTCTTCTCTTTCCTCCGATAGTTGGAGAACCGTCAGATCTAGCAAGGAGGAGCCTAGATCTAGGCTCCTGCCTCCTTGAGTCCCTATAAGCCCAACACCCCCGGCCTCAACAACGACCATGGCAATTGCGTGCATGACGACGGAATGGGAAGAGACATGTCGATGGCTATAGGGTGCAGCTGCGCATGCGAAGCGCGAAGAGGAGGAACAATGGTGGCTCATGGAGAAAGAGGGGTGGTGGCGGTGCGTGGAGTGGAAGCTAGTGATTGCCGGTGGCCTAAGGAGTTTGTTGTCGACACAATTCTCTACCGAGTTCATCACATTTTTTTCTCTAAGTACTATTGACATGTGTGGGTCACTAGTCATTATAAAGAACTAGCTAAAGGTCTGTGCGTTGTAACAAATATTATAAGAGATAAAAGTAAAAGCAAAAATTACAAGGTTATAACATAGTTAATTATTTAGGTATACAATGCCATATACAAAACAAAAGTATTCACATGTGAGGATCTTATGGCTCCACATGTCAGCTTGTGACATTAAAGGTAAACTCGAACATCAACATTAGCATCATTTTAAGTAGTAAGTATAGATATACTTCATCCGGATTAATAATACTTGTCATTTTGGATAAGGACATGGTTTTCAAAAAACAACATTTACCACTATTTTTTATATAATATATGTAGTAATATTAATAAATATAAAAATTTATTGAAGTACTTTTAAGAACAATCTATATGTACGGTCACCGTATTTCCAAGACAAATATTTCAGATGTAATTTATAGTTAATGTTTTGAAAGTTTAACGATAGGCTTATCCAAAACGGTAAGTACTACTACACCGGAGGAAGTGCATGTGTAGTTTTATAGAGTATGGTAAAAAAAAATGGAGATAAAGGCAGGTGTAGTGGAGTATCTATCTTCCCACCTTGGCGTAAAAGAAAAGAAAATCTGCAGTCTGTGTCGTCTCCTCCGGTCCTTGCGCGCAAGACCGAGTCGCGGCTGCCGATCTCCATCTGCCGATCGAGCAGAGCATAGCAGGGGATCCTGGTAAGCATCCACATCCTCTTTCTTTCTCAGAATTCATCTATCTCTTTCTGGGGATCTGGAATTTGCTTGCGTTCATTAACCCTAGCTTCTCTTCTAGACTAGATCTGGAAGAAGCTCTTGGATCTCTTAGTTCCAGAGCCTTAACCTTAGTACAAGTAGCACTTCGTTTGTTCCCCAAAAGTTGGATCCGCCCCTGCGAGTTTTGTGGTTTTTCCGGGTGCAAACTAGTATAGTAGAGCTTAAGAAATGAAGTACTCATCAATGATTTAGTTGAAGAAATGCGTCGTCGTCGAGTTGTATAGCAACAATGATCAGGCACTACTACTTGTTAAAGTATTAACTCTCTGCAGCTCTTCTGTAGGAAATGGCTGACGGTGAGGACATCCAGCCTCTTGTCTGTGACAATGGCACTGGAATGGTCAAGGTCTGATTTTCTTTTTCTTTTTTACTCTTACGTAATGTAATGTATGTCGTCTCCTGCTGAATATTACATTACATTACATTTCATCATGTAGGCTGGTTTCGCTGGGGATGATGCACCAAGGGCCGTGTTCCCTAGTATTGTTGGCCGTCCTCGCCACACCGGTGTTATGGTAGGAATGGGGCAGAAGGATGCCTATGTTGGTGATGAGGCACAGTCCAAGAGAGGTATCCTCACGCTCAAGTACCCCATCGAGCACGGTATCGTGAGCAACTGGGATGACATGGAGAAAATCTGGCATCACACTTTCTACAATGAGCTTCGTGTGGCGCCCGAGGAGCACCCTGTGTTGCTCACTGAAGCTCCTCTGAACCCTAAAGCCAACAGAGAGAAGATGACCCAGATTATGTTTGAGACTTTCAATGTCCCTGCAATGTACGTCGCTATCCAGGCCGTGCTTTCCCTCTATGCCAGTGGCCGTACTACTGGTATGTATGAACTCATCTCTGTCTTTTACTTCAATGAGGAGGGTTTGCTCAATTATGCACTTGTATGATCCACCTCTGCTGCCATACACTTTTTTTTAATCATTGCCAAGCTTCTACAATTAATGTATGATTTGCATCCATCTTTATTAATATGCTCATTTGCTAGCATCCTTTAGATACACTTCAATCTTGATATAAATGTTTTATTTGGATACACTTCAATCTTGATAGCAAGCTACCTGCGACCCCATTGTGTCCAGGCCTGAACAAACAGCTAACTGTCGACAAGTAAATGTTTTATTTAGAGGAGCTTATGTTTCTCTGCTCTGCAGGTATTGTTCTTGATTCTGGTGATGGTGTCAGCCACACAGTGCCCATTTATGAAGGATATGCGCTTCCTCATGCCATTCTCCGTTTGGATCTGGCTGGTCGTGACCTCACAGACTCCCTTATGAAGATTCTGACTGAGAGGGGTTACTCCTTCACAACCTCCGCTGAGCGGGAAATTGTAAGGGACATCAAGGAGAAACTTGCGTATGTTGCCCTTGATTATGAGCAAGAGTTGGAAACCGCCAAGAACAGCTCCTCAGTTGAAAAGAGTTATGAGCTACCTGATGGTCAAGTAATCACAATTGGTGCAGAGAGGTTCAGGTGCCCCGAGGTCCTCTTCCAGCCATCCATGATCGGTATGGAGGCTGCTGGTATTCACGAGACCACCTACAACTCCATCATGAAGTGCGACGTGGATATCAGGAAGGACCTTTATGGCAACATTGTGCTCAGTGGTGGTACAACCATGTTCCCAGGCATTGCTGATCGTATGAGCAAGGAGATCACTGCCCTTGCCCCGAGCAGCATGAAGATTAAGGTCGTTGCTCCACCTGAGCGCAAGTACAGCGTCTGGATCGGAGGGTCGATCCTAGCCTCACTCAGCACTTTCCAACAGGTAGGAAGCTCCTGTTCATCTGTAGTTGCTACAATAATTGTTAAACTTTACTTTCTGGAACATATGTCTCATGATTAACCTGTGGTAACATCTAAAATCTGTTGTATGTCGTGTTGGTTTGCAGATGTGGATATCAAAGGACGAGTACGACGAATCTGGCCCAGCAATTGTCCACAGGAAATGCTTCTGATTTTCTCAAGTGCTCTGCTCTTGTCATCTGTAGTATCGAGTTATGTTTGATTCGTTTTTCTAGCGATGTATTGGAGATTTGCAGGCTATGTTTGTTTTCTTTTTGGAGACGACTTCTCTATGTGTTCGATCAGTGTAAGAATGTCCTATGTTTGTGTCATCTCAGATTGTTTGTTTGAGTTCACTTGTCAAACTTGGTTCGTTTGATTGGTCAGAACTGTCTGTATGAGCTTATTGTTCTATACATTGCTCCAAGGGTATAATTATGTTAAATTTTGGATCTATTTCAATGTGGATTGTACGGTCTATGAAAGTATTGCACCGCAATCATGCTGAGACCCAATTTATTGGCTAGTACAAACATGGATGCACAAGCCTACCGCAGTAATATGCCATTAGTTTAGAATTAGAAGAGACACTGTATATTGCCTGGCATTCCAAGAATAAATTGGAGCGCTGAAATTTGTTTCGCTTCAACTGATTTCATGAAATTATACACGAATAATCGCTTCCTCAGTGACCACTCTAAACAAGTTTAATTGTTAAAAATGCCATCGAGAGCTGGTCTGACCGTCTAACAATCTTCTACACTTTTTTTTAGCAGATTCAACTGTCTCTTAGTGTGTTGAAGCTCCAGTAACCTCGTTAGTGATCTCCAGTAACATCTTTAGTGATAGTCTTCAGATTTCATTCATGAACAGACAGGGTTAGTCACTTGGTTTGAAAGCACCAGACAATGCCTTGTATGCTTCTACACAGCGTTTGAACCTTTCCTCAGCTTCAGCCTGCAATAATACATTAGTGCTCAGACTTCTGAGGGCAACATATGAAGTACTAACCATGATAAGGAAAAATGATGTAGCTCTTTCCTTTTCGCTAAAAAAATACGGCCTTTTCCTAGTATCACTGCTAGCAACTAAATTAGTATCCCGTATTTCTTGAGGTTAAATAACTGACAGCTTATAAGATGGACAGTGTCCCAGTGTGGCTAACTTTATAACTACCAATCAGTCAATCACCTGCGGCACACTACTGATTTCTTACTAGAGAGCATGTGAGGATACCACCAAAAGAGTGTCAAAAAATAGCAAGGACAGCCGTAATGACCTGTGATGCTCCTTGATGTTTGTCTGGGTGCCACTTGAGAGCCGATGCACGAAAACTGCAGAAAACATCGCATCGAGAGTCTGAGAGATACAACCAATTAACAGCTTCAAGATATAGAAACGATCAAACTTTGAGCCAATGCTGCAAGGAATGTTCATAACACTTACGCGGACTTAATATGATCAAGTTCTAAGGGACCTAAAGGCGGCAAACCAAGTGATATTCTATGGCTGCGAAGATTATCATAGCAAGGCTCTTCCTCATCTACATCACTTTCATTCCAAACTCTTTCCCTTGATTTATTTGATTGAGACTCATCCCGCCACTGAAATCCACTGGGACTCCCACTTTCGTCATCCTCCCCAGGCCAGTACCAGGTAAAAGATCTCTTGCCGCCAAAATTCCCATAAGGGGTATCACTGCAATCATCTTCATCAAAGTTTTTCCACTTCTGCGCACCTATATAAAACAACATAGGGCATTTTTTATTATCCATATATACCCTAGAAATGTGGAGCAATACTCTCCGAAAAGAGAAGAGAACCCAATGTAAACATAATACAAGAAAATAAGGCAATGTAGTTTTAAGGAAAAAGTTCAGGAAGAACTTACTTTTGCCTTTTCTATGTGGATTTTTTCCATAGCTGGAGTTTGTAAGCTTTGATTTACCGCTACCTTTTTGTTGCCTCTTTTGTTTATTGCTTCCTTCCTATAAAGAACAGATCATGTTCGAAAACTTTAATCATTTGTCAACTGGGAGGAAAAAAGAAACCACACAGAAATTTTTTTTTTCATGTTCCATATATGTCGAGATGTATCTTTTGTGCCCACCAGCTAGACGAAGATGAAAAAAAATACTTGATACAGTAGTAGTCATGGGAGAGATCAGCATGTACACTATTCCACTTAGACTGAGAAGGATTGAAATGTGTGATCTTGTTAGTTAAATCAGTATGGTGTAGGTTGTGATTTAGAGATATGTGCATGCGCGCACTTGACAGTTAACAGAACACAATGAAAGGATTACAAGCACCTGACAGGGACCACCGTTAAGTAGAATGTTCTTCAGAGCAGCCTTAGCATCAGCGCGCTTTTCGCGGACGGCAAACCTGATGTGAGGCTGTCCAGGAAAACAAACTCCATTACTTGATGATATGCATATATACAAAGTGAAAGTGGCAACGCACGAAAAAAAGAAAACGCCTATCAAGAATTACAGTGAATGCCTAAAGAAAGAGGCGTGGTTTCATCTTGTACATTGAATTGTAGACCGTCTGTTAGAACCGTGTCAATTTTCCTAAAAACCAAACCCCAAAGTACAGTATTGAACAGTGAAAATACAGGGCTTTACTAACACACAATTGGAGGAGCGGCTGAAATGAGAGGTCCATGGCAGACAGTGGCACAAGTATGGGTAGTCTGAGGAAGCAGCTAATTAGCAAATCACAGTGCGTCAGCGGTATCAAGTTATCTAGAGTTGCCCACCTTTTGTACTAATAATATATTTTGTTGCATGTAAAAAGTTTGCTGCTACTTAATTCCTCGACGTCCACGGGATGAGGGGAGGGGAATGAAAGATCGAAGGAAGGGGAACGGGGTGGGATCGAACCGTGGGTTTGGAAAGAGCGGCGGCTGTGGAGTGGAAACATCTCCATCTCCATCTCCATGTCCACGTCCGTGCGGCAGCCTGCATCCCGGCGGCGGCGGAGGAGCAACGGAAGGAAGGAGAAGACGAGAGGAGAGTAGAGTGGGTTGGGCTTGGGCTTGGGCCCTTGTGCGCGTGGATCTCATGGGATGGGCTCTCCACCCAGGCTGTCAGGTGTCAGCCCACTTGGTTTTTTCTCCTCTGCCGTGCTGTGCTGCTAGTATTATACATGAACTCATTTTTTTAGCTGACCAACTTAATCGGTCAGTTATATATATATATATATATATATATATATATATATTAATCACTAATCAGCCACTAGCATCATGATACATGCATGCAGGCCATATTTGTGGAGTATGATTCGATCCGCACCACCAGCCCAATATATACGTCGCTGTCACGTACTCTCGCATACTCTTACTTCTTCTTCCCAAAAAGAAAAAACAAATTCAAAAACTCGGAGTACATGTACCTTTGAAATACTCCCTCCATCCAAAAATCAATCCATCTCTCCGTATTCTAGTCGTTCCACAAAGACTAATTATTTTTAAACAATCAATTAATGCACTAGAGTCTATATATTAAAGTGCTGATAAATACATTAGATTTTGCTAAAGTGAAAAGCATTCTAGTATTTTTTTTTGTTTTTTATTGATTCGTGTAACATGGGTTAAAATTAAAGTCTTTCAACGATGGTTTATTTTAGGATTTTTTTTCATATAATATTTTGAATTCTGTGGAAAATTTTTAGTGGTCTTTCGAAAGATTAAACTCCAAGTATCCTACAAAGTTCACATAGAACGGCTCACAGCAAGGAGATTTTTGTCAAAGAGTAGCATGAGGTCTAACCTTATGAAAATTCACCTTTATTTTTTACTTTTTTTTCTCATGGTCTATTTAAATGGTTGTTCTTTTATTTTTTTAATTCTTTGTTTTACACTTGTATTTTTCTCTAAATTCTTTTTTTTTATTTCTATATTTTCTCAGCCTCCTGCTTCTTCAAAGGGGGATCTAATTGGTCCGATGGGGTACGAATTTAATTTATCCACAAACCAGCATATGCGTTTATCAAATTTAGCTATATATGCATGTTCGTAAAGCTACTTTACAACTGTTTTTGTCAATTTTTAAGCTATTTTACAACTGTTTAGCTAGCATGTGATTCGCATAGAAGGTAACAATTAACAAACAATCAGCATGGAGTAATTTATATATATTTATGGTATATCGACCCCCTTGATTAGTTTATCCAGCAGAGAAGATCGTTGCAGGAACCAATTAGTAATTAACTACTAATTAATATATTTGTCCATATAATTTAAGTGTACGAAATCGCGTTCCGTTGGCGTTGGTCAATCAGGTGTAAAAAAAAATAATTATAACAAGACAAAATAGCAGATCCAAGAAAGCGTGCAGGGCAAAAGCATCGGCAAGCGGTTCTACAATTTACTACTAGTAAGATCTAAATCACTTAAATTTATCTGTCATTTCGTATTGTGAACTATACTAGCTACGGACACGATGTCTACAACTTTTTGTGTGGCTAGATCTGTTTTACAGTAGTGCACTACTGTGCACACTTTAAGAACTCCTTTGGAACAAAGAAATTTTTAGAGGAATTTTGAAGGATTAGATTCGTATGAAAATAATTCCTATGCGTTTCTTTGTATTAATGAAGGAATGACTCTTCTAAATTTCTTTGAATGACTCAAATCATAGGAATTTAGAATGATTTTTTAACATGAGGTATCAACTTATTCTAAAAAGAACTTTTTTTCTCTCTCCTAGCTCATGTATTCGTTCCTGCAATTTTGCAGGATTTGAGACGTCCAGGCGCTCGAATTCTACGGTTTTCATATCCCTATTTTAAAAATCATGTGTTCCATAGAAGTCCTAAAACTTTTGGCAAATTTTGCTACAGGATATCGTAATTGTGTGTATTTAGCTCAGGGACACCGCGAAAGTGAACTTTTGGGGGAAGACATCCCATAATCATGGATATTTGCCGATGGACACCGCGTCGTCTCCTCTCCACTTGACGTGCTGACGTGGCAGACGGGAGGCTGTTTTTTGACGCGGTCGGACGTAAATACCCCTGCGCCTTATCTCCAAGAACATCCTTCTCATTTCTTTGCCCGAAGGTGTTTGATCCAATCTTAGAGACCTTTGGTGAGCTTCGCCGCATTTTATCCATGGGAACGTGAACTACTTCCTTTGCCCGATCTAGCCATATCCTTGCATCCTAATTTAGTGCAGACATGAAGATGCGCTCGTCGGCATTCTCGGGGTCCAGGGCGCCGCCGTGCGTCGCTTCGCCGTTCCCGTCGACTCAAGCCATCGTTGACCGAGCCACTGCGCCAAAAGCATCGCCGGCATCCCAGAAGGAGGTCTGCCAGAGGAATCGATTCGAGGCACTGCCGTTGAGGAGATCGAACCTTTCTTTCTCAAGTCCGGCTGCCGGCTCATTCCTTCAATTCCTCGCTCCCGAGTGAGCTTCGGCGCAATTCCTCGCACATGTAGCATTCTCAGACGGTCTTTGAATCGTTTCCCTCCTCCCTTTGATAGCCTGAAGGCCAGAAGGAGCCGACACCATCGACCTGTCGTTCTCTGCCGTCGCTGGAGCATTTCGAAGGTCGCCTCGCTGTCCATCCATCGCCGAACCTCAGACGACCTTTAGTGAGTCTCCAAGAGACCTGTAGCCACGCACGCATGTACTCACTCACATGGAAATGAGCCGGAGCTCGGCATGCACTGGCATGCCGAGAGTCACTGCCGCTCGCGTCGCCGCCGACAACTATTCCGGCCACCATATTGCACAAAACCACCACCTATAGATTCGCAAGGATGCCCTCTCCACTTTCTCTTTTAGCCGCATCATAAGAACCACCACCGATCACCGCCGGCGTCGGTGACAACGTCACCAAGCGCCATCGGCTCCGCCGCTGCTCTGTCTACCGAGTGCATATGAGGAGATAAGGCACAGGGGTATTTACGTCCGACCACATCAAAAAACAGCCTCCCGTCTGCCACGTTAGCACGTCAAGTGGAGAGGAGACGGCGCAGTGTCCATCAGTAAATATCCACGATTATGGATGTCTTCCCCCAAAAGTTCACTTTTGCGGTGTTCCATGAGCTAAATACACACAATTGCAATGTCCTGTAGCAAAATTTGCCAAAACTTTTACCTATCTTTTTCAAACCAAAATCAAAGTATCAAGCATATTTGTACTGAGTTATTAGTGCAACGTTCTTGTTTATAGGAATAATGAAAGTATATGCCAAATTATGCCCCTCAAATCAATGTGTATATATTGTTGTGCATACAAAATAGTCATTTCACTGATCGATGCACATTTTTTTATGCCAGTGTTGGCATGTATATTGAGCACACAATTCGTCCCAAAATAACTCATTTTTAAACCCCCCCCCCCCCCTTCACTTGTCCTAGAAAGACTTCGAGCTCCTTTAGAACATAAGATTTTAAAAATACGGGAATAGGAATGAATGAGATGTCATGTGTAAGCAAATCCAGAATGCAAAAAAACAGGAATTTGCAAGATGATGTGTTTGGATAGCTCACATAAAAATGACACATGAATTTGGATTGATTTTTAGAGAGAAGAGATACAAAGAGAGAAGAAGCTCTTGTGCAAAATTCCTACGAATTGGAGTATAGGATTGTAACAAAAGAATTTTCGTATGCCTAATACCCCAATTCGTAGGATTCTGGAATTGGGGTATAGGTAACGAGTTGGATTAATTAAATTGCATGCCTATTTGCGATGTACGAGATGCAATGGGAAAATATTACTCCCCTCTCTTGAGAAAAACAATATTAGAAACGAATATGGACATGAAAAACCTAATTCTGGATTATTATTATTTTTTTTGGTAGAGGGAGTATCTAGGGAACAGTTGCCAGATAAAAAAACAGAGAGATACTAAAACATTTGCTAATGTCTTGGGGCTTCACCTGATTAAAGAAGTCAAACAGTTACTTATATATGTGAATCTCTGACCGAAGTCAGTTCCTTTAGTTTGCTGTACTGGTACTATACTAGTCTGTGATTTAATACAGATGGAGTCAAAGTTAATTAGTAGGTCACATGGATGGATACGGGCACATTTCCTTCACGTACGAAAAAAAAAACGAGGAAATGATATAATATCAAATAATTAAAAAGGTGACCCCTGGTCGTTTCTCATTTCCTTCACGTACGTATCGATGGAGCTAGTTAGTAGATCGATCACACTATAACTATACTTGCTGAAGCGGTGATTTTGTTGGTGTGGATTGTTCATTATTATTCTGATCCTTCTCTTGGCTGCCACTGATCATCGTCTTCTCCACCACAACCATCTCTGTAGAAATTTTGTGGTGGGATTGCTGCTGCTGCTGCTGCTGCTGCTGGTCATCACCATTGCCATTCATCGTCATCTCGGCGCTCTTACCCCACAGCACGCTGTAGAGCCCTCCCACCAGCAGAATCCCCCCTATAATACTGTCCATGAATTCAATTAGCTAGCTATATAGGCCATTGATAATTGATTGAGTAATTAATTTGCAACAGTTAATAATGTAACCGATCGGTCGGTCGGGTTAATCAGCTGTAGAGTAATTACCTGCCGAGGTGGACGATCTCGGTTGGACATGGCCAAGAACACGGGTCCCTTGAGCTCCACGCACCACGCCTGCAGGTAGTATGACACCCCCGTCACCACCAAACCCTGCAATTGCATTTGCATCCATCCATGGAGATTAATCTATCGAGATCGATGAGCTAGGACGACGACGGCGAAAACGATGATTCAGCAATAGTTAGCAACTCCCTCCGTTGAAAAAAAAAAGCCAACTTCTACATATGAATATGGATATAGCATGTGTCCAGTTAGGATGGAGCTAAAACAAAATGAAAAGGTTTCACTCGCTTATTTTAGTCTATTTTGGATCGAGTTTAACTTGATATGAGTGTCTAATTAAGTTTCGATTGAGGATACGTATATACGGTAAAAATAGATAAATTATAGCTGAAATTTTTTTTCTAAACTGGGTTTCTGAGTATCCGTTAATACACAAGTAACTCCGTCTCTGTTGTCTAGGTTTATAGCTAAAAGTTATTA